CACCTTTGTTTTTCTTATATATTTATTCACGTATTAATATATATATATATATATATATATTGATGCCCAAAAGATAAAAGAGAAGTTATAGCGTATTTTCGTTGCACCGGCGCACTCCTGGTGTCTTTCTAGTTGCATTTGTATGTATATATACAACCACATACGCAAGCTAGACCTGAACCCTTTTTTTCTTTTCCTCTCCAATCATCAGGGGTTTGCATATATGCAGGAGTGGGCTATTATCGGGGCCCATGAGCCATTGGAGAAGATACTGGGCGTTCTCGTTGTACGAGCGCACTCTGCCGGAGCTCTGGGCGTCATCACTGACAAAACAATTGCCACAAGGGAAATGTCTAGCTCTAAGCTTATGTGAACCCACTTGGACCGACAAGTTTTAGATTTTAGGGTTTCAGGGTTTAGAGGTTTTACCTGGTACTTAGTCGAATGGTCCCAGGAACTATTGAGCGCGAAACTTAAGTGAACCAGTATGCCCTCTTGGACCGTCCTGTTCTAGAGTTCTAAGGTTCTCTTGGTTCAACCTGGTGTACCTGGTCACGTCACCAATGCTGGGAATGATACGAGAGGAAACCTCGTATGGACCGGTACCTACTCACTAGTGGCCTGTCCAGTTCTAGTGTTCTAGGGTTTTAATGATTCAATCCGGTGCACCTGGTCACGTCACCAATGCTGGAAACGATATGAGAGGAAAGCTCGTGTGAACCACTATATACTCTCTAGTGGACCGTTCAGTGCTAGGGTTCTAGAGTTCTAGAGTTCTAAGGTTCTCATGGTTCTCAATCCGGTGCACCTGGTCACGTCACCAATGCTGGATATGATATGAGAGGAAAGCTCGTGTGAACCACTTGGACCGTTCAGTGCTAGGGTTCTAAGGTTCTCATGGTTCAACTCGGTGCACCTGGTCACGTCATCGATACTGGGAATGATATGAGAGGAAAGCTCGTATGAACCACGATATGCTCTAGTGGATCGTCCAGTTCTAGGTTCTAGGGTTCTCATGGTTCAACTCGGTGCACCTGATCACGTCACCGATACTGGGAATGAAATGAGAGGAAAGCTCGTATGAACCACGAAATACTCTAGTGGATCGTCCAGTTCTAGGGTTCTGCGCCTGGTCACGGCATCAATGCTGGGAATGATACGAGAGGATAGCTCGTAGAATGAGAGGTGTGAATCAGTACATACCCACTCTAGTGGACCTTCCAGATGTAGGGCTCTATGGTGTCAGGATTCCCGTCACCAGAGTAAATCTCGGCCATCTCGGTAGTAAAAATGCCGGGGTGCTGTGCTCTTCAAAAAGCACACCCTCCTATACCTCCATCTCCGAGACTAGGCTACCTGTGAGTGTGGCTGCATTTCTTCAGGGTACTGTGATAACTATTATCCCTTGAGCAGTATCCATATAATGCATCACAGGGGTAGAGGCTGAGCCACCCCCTCCCCCCTCTTACGGGCCCCAGTAGTGTGTGGGTCAGATGGTTAGGTTATCAAAATAGACTGATTAGAAGAGTAGCCCTTGAATCGGTAGAGGGGTGCACTATCCCATGCCTATCCCTTACTCATTTACAGAGGGGGACCACCCTTTGTATCGAACGCCTGTCTCCTACCCACAACAGAATTTTTAGTTTATATCTCAACATTTACTTTTTAAGAATGGATACTACTTATCATACCCATAGCTATTTCTACAACCAATGACGGACCATCCACCGGTGATAATATGTATCGCTTTGTAAGGCTTTTTCTCTGCCCAATCCCACACTACAGTAGAGTATAATATATTGGCACCGCCAACTGTAGGTTGTCTCCCTAGGAATTGTAAACCCTTGATATCTTGAGGCCTTTCCGGGTCGATTTGTACTGGAATTGGTCGAAGTACCGTATTTGCAGCCTTTCCACACTAAAATCCCTCAAATATCTGAATAAGCCAATCAGATCATTCGGGAAATATCAAAAACTACTACATGTAACATTCTTCGCTTTTGTATATCGCATACATAATGTTTGTTTTACTACCAGCATGACTCGTGCGGACCCACGAGGGTTCCAGATGTTTTTAAACATCGCCTTCTATGTTCGATTTAAAAGGCTACTTCGTACATAATCTCTTCAGGGGATGTCATTCCAATGTCAGACCCGCCTACCGCGAGGTGCTGGTATCCCGACAAGCCATTACGTATGTTGGATGAACGGTTTACAACGGCGCTGGATAACCGCTAGCTATACAGATCTAGTACACCGCCAACCTAACAGCAGAAATGTATTTGGATATCATGGCTCCGGACGATGTATAATAAACTCAGTCAGCGCTCCAGCGCAGAAGTACCGTTAGGCTACCAATCGCTATACAAAGCGCATGTTCTCGGGCCTGGGATTGGGTGACGAATGGAACAGAATGAATAGGCGCTGTCCGAAAAAGTTTATGGATTGTGCACCTCAGTACAGTGGGTCAATAGACCCGAATCGGTGATATCAACTGTCCCATTTTATAAAAGAAAATGGGTCATGGAGACGTACTGGCCGTCGTTGTGTAATATGCAACAGCAGTGGGATAGGCTTAGGGATACAAGCAGCCACGCTATTATTGGGTAAAATAATCTATGGCAAAACAGCTCTACACGCACCACTTGAGCTCGGAACTTGTGCTTGACTGCAATGTCAGTGTAGAAATTGATCTCACGACGCCACTCAGTTGTGTAGCAAGATACTGTGAGCGTACATTTGCACCCACACATACACTGCGCACACGCACATACAAGCGTGTACGTGATTCTAGTCCATATGATTCAACAGCAGAACAAGATGCTTTGAGAGATTCAAACCCTAAACCCTAAAACCCCTCAAACACGCACATACTAGTTGCTACAAGAATTCTACTCCATACTATTTATTTAATAAAGCAACAATTAAAACTATATCCTTACACATCTAGTACATCAACATTCTAGGACCTAGTGTGCAGCAAGAATCCGATTTAGGGTTTAGGGTTTAGGGTTTAAAGTTTAGGGTTTTACATATGGGGAACATACGAGTAGCCGGTGGCACGGAGTTTGTAGCCATTGGCAAAGGCTGAACTGGACGTGAGTTTCTTCGTCGCCGACTGGACAGTTCGGAACCCCACCCAACCATCCACGCACCTATTGAGGGAGGAGAGTGCGACCGTAGATGTGTGAGGTGCACTCAGAGGCGATTCCCAACGCAATGATATCACAGTATACAAACACGTAGCTGTTGCCAGACGGCATCCGCATCCATTCGATACATATTAGGACAACTGAATATGACTATATTCAACGGAAATCTATACATAAAAATAAAACTATTTTGGCTGTATATATATACATTTATAAACGTATACTAGTGTTCATATACGTACCTGATATACAATATCTGCGTGTCAACGTCATAGCGAGGGGTGCCGCCAGGTGCTGGGCTGATCTCTGACTTTTTGCCCAAATGCAAATCTAGAGTGAGCTCATCCGCTTGGCTGTAGCTTTCTTGTTGGGGTGGTTGGGAACCGAGAGTTTGTACTGGGTTCTGGTCTAGTTGGGGGGGGACTATGTCGAGGAGCTTGATTTCCTTCCCGTTCCAGGTTGAATACAGAGCTGTCTGCTCAGGTAAAGACATACTGGTACACGATTAGTATCATGTGATTACAGTATAACAATAGTACGCATGCTTATATAAGAACGTATATTTGTCAATATACATATGTAAATGCGGTATGATAAGAATTTTTAGTAGGTGACCATGTAGTCCTGGTGATACCTTGTTTAGGGAAAGAAACAATTATATTTTATAAACCACGTCCATGCAGGGAGTATTCTGTTAAATTTACAGATATAAACGTAATTATGAATATA